GTCAAAATTAGATATTGACAGGGATCAAAATATTAGACTATTTAAGAAAAATAAGATGATTTGTTAGGTATTCATAATCAAAATTCAACACGAATCAAATGACCTTAGTGATTAAAGGATTATTGTTATCCTTGAGGTTCCGAGTTTGAGCATTGCATATGTAAGGACACGAATTTTCATTATCAAATAGTTGAGTTTTTGTACAGATAGTACCTTATATTGACCCTAATTTATATATAAAAAAACTGAAATTCACGATGCAACACCTAATTTGTCTAATATTTTTACAATGAATTAAATTGTTACTAGACCAAAAATTTGAGAAGACGAGGTTATCATGCTTTAGTTCGGCCCCTACTTAATTAAATATTTAATAAATTTTTATATTTTTTAATTTAAATATTTATTTGTACATGAACCAAAATACTATTAGACCAAATTATATCAAATATATTAAACTTTTAACATGGACAAGGGCCCCTTTGAGTCCCAACATAGCTTCGCCCCTGATGACGTGATATTATCTAAATTTGTGTTAATTTTATTTGACCAATATAGTAGTGATACATATCGTTAATATACTAGTCAAATAAAATATTAAAAGAATAATATGTGGACTACTAACGAAGAGATAGAAAATTATGTAAAATTTTTATAAATAAAGATATCATGTTGAGATTGTAATTTTAATTTTAATTTTATAAAGATCGGTAATTAAAATAAATGAAAAACAATAAATTAGTGATTAATGGTGTAGTTTATTTTTTTCTAAGCAATTATTAGAGCAAAAAGAACCAAGAGATGTGTAAAAAACGTATTTAAAAATTGAATCTTTAAAATACTTTCACGAATTAGGTTTTTTTTTTAAATAAAAAATTTGTCATTGAATCGCCACCAACCTTATTTAAAGTGTAATTGGATTATTCAAAAGTTTTTTATTTTAATAAAATTTATTTTTAAATAAAATTTATTAAAATCATATTGTTTTCGTCTGTGTAATAAAAAATCGAATTTAAAAATCGATTACGTATGAAAAATGATTAAGACATCCACAACACACTATAGAACTATACCAATACTAAGTTCATTATGTCGTTGTCTTTGTAATGGAAAGGAATTACAAATTTGAATATTAATTTAATTAATGATCTCTATAATAAATGAATGATGCATGTTTTATTAATCTATACTAAAAAACTTAAAGAGAAAATGATAATATTTTATCATTTTCAATCACACATAAAATGTATTTAATGCTATAAAATAACGGTTAATCTCTTCAACGGAAATAAAAAATATTATTATTTTTCTAAATTTTTTTAATGTTAACGTTTATTAGAGTGTAATGAAAGAGGAAATGATCTAAACAAATTAATTACTATTATCTATCCTTTTAGAAAAGATAAAGATTGTTCAGTTATTTAAAAATATAGAGACAAAGTCTTTAACACAATTAAACAATTTTTTTATTGATGAATTTAAATAAATAAATATTTTATTTTTCTCTAGTACCCAAATTTTTCATTTTCACTTATTAGGATATCTTTTCATCTTAAATTATCGGAACAGACTTTTTATTTTTCACAGCGATTACTAACATTTTATTTTATAATTATTCTATTTTCAATATTTTTTATGCAAACCTCGAGCATCCCTTATATGGTTCTTGCAACAGAGATTTGATGCATCCCGCATTGAATAGCGTTGACAACAAATTACAATCATAGGATCCGAGTACAATAGAGCTTTAGATTAGACCTAGGTTTTAAGGTTTAATGTTTTAGTTTTTATTGGGTAAATTACATAATTTAGTCACTCAATTATTCGTGTAATTTTTTGACCACTCAACTATTTTTGTTTTTAAAATCATACCTAATATTATATTTTGATTTTATTTCGGTCACCTGCTGTTAAAAAAATTAACGGTGATGTTGATGTGTCACCATAAAATAACGTCATATCATCATTGAAAAATATAAAAAAAATACTACATCACCACTTAAATTAATTTTCTAAAGGCAGATGTCCAAAATAAAATCAAAATATAATGTAAGTTATGGTTTTAAAAAACAATAGTTGAATAACAAAAACAAAATGCATAAATAATTGAGTGATCAAAATAAAATTGAACAAATAATTAAATAAAATTGTCCGTTCAGTTCAGTTGGTAGAGCGCAAGGCTCTTAACCTTGTGGTCGTGGGATCGAGTCCCACGGTGAACAATTTATAATTTAGACTGCCGGAGGTCTTCTACGGAAGCTGCTTTTAACTTGGTGTTGGGACCAACCTACTACATTAACTCCCCTCATCTTACATATGGGAATAGGGGCTAATTTATAGTTTACACTAATTTTGTTTGTTATTGTTGCGAGGCTTTTGATATACGGAGAACATGTCTCTTTTGTTGGTTTTCCAAACGTTTTTTTGTGTGTGTGCTTTTTATGAGTTGATTGTATCACATTCCTTCAAGTATGATTTTTCTTTTAAATTGGTCCCTAAACTTTTAAATATTCCAATTTCATCCCTAAACTATGACTATCATTCTAAATTAATCCTTAAACTTTTGAACATTTCAATTTCATCCCCAAACTATAACCTTCATTCTAAATCAGTCCCTAAACTTTTTGAATATTTCAATTTCATCCCAAACTATACGCATATACTAATCACATCTATTGGTAATAAAATCATTAGACCATGTTATATTATTATATGTTTGAAAAAAAAAACAAAATTTAGGTTAAATTATGGTTGAAACTAATTACATATTTGGATGAATTTGGGGGATGAAATTGGAATATTTAAAAGCTTGGGGAATAATTTAGAAAGAGGGCAATACTTTAGGGTTGAAATTAAAATGTTCAAAAGTTTAAGGACTAATTTAGAATGAAAGTCATAATTTGAAGATGAAATTAAAATATTTAAAAGTTTAAGGATCAATTTAAAATGAGACTTATAATTTAGAGAAATACGATGCAATTAACTTGCTTTTTATTCTTGCAATTACTTCTTCAATTAATCTGTGAAAAAACAAAAAAAAAATGTGATTGTAATCCTCCAAATACTCTCGATTTCATTTAAAATGATGTTAAACTTTATTATATATATATACCATCAGGTGTATTTATATTAGAATTTTCTTTTATATATAGAATTATGATGATAAATGTCTCATTTTTTTTAATTCTTATATTTATCAGGATTATAGCTGTTATGATTCAATCATTACATGTGGAAACTTTTTACACTTGTAATATACCAAATAATTACCCTATAGATTGTGTATTTGCAAAATTTTTATTAAAGTATTAATTGTATTAAATAAATTTTATTGAAACTAATAGTAAACTTATTGCGGATAGATTGAAGAATAGATAACTTTATTACCAATGGTTTGGACCATTACCCTTAACAAAATTATCTATCATTTCATACACTTTTTTTTATTAATCTGAGCTAAGTATAAGACAATATGTGTTTAAAGATATTACCTTATAATTATCCGGACTATTTAAAAAAGTGTATATCTTAGTCTCTTTGCTTGATCAGCAATCAAAGCTAGCAATGGAGACACCAATTGTAATCCTAATATATTTTTGTGGAATGTCAGTTACCTTACGCACAACTTGAATGAATAATAATGTTGAAATGAGGTTCTTTGGGTGTGTTAACCATGAATATGTACTTAGAAGAAATTGCAATTTTTATTTGGTATGATCTCCCATTGAATCCACGTTCATGTACTGTTATCGTTGGTTTGTTAAGGAAGACGAGAACCATAGAGAGGGGAAGAAGGTTTGAATGAGTGATTTAGGTGGTTTGTTTGGGGGGTTTTGTTGTAGCTGATTATGTTGGGTTAAGAAATGGGTAATTTAGGATTTAAAGATTCTATTTTTTTTGCCTTATGTTTGTTGCTTCAAGTTCATTTTGATAAGCTAGAATTTGAACATGAATTTGAAATTTGAGGTTGAACATGTAAATTAAAGTGTTTATGAACATGAATTATCAAACAAAGAGAACAAGAGAAAGATAGATTTTATTTTTAGGGTTTTTAGTCAAGTTTGGGTGAGTAAATTTTTTGGAATGCTGAAATGGGTTAAAAGGATTATTTTATTAAGTCGTAAAATAACAGTGACGTGTCATGTCAGGTGAAACTAACGGTAGGTAATGTCAGGGACCTTACTGAAAACGAACTAAAAGTTTGATGACTGTATTGTAAGTTTTAAAAGTTGGGTGACCAAAATGGAAGCATTCTAAAAGTTCGATGACCATTTTTGTATTTTACCCTTTAATCAATTGGAACATAGAGCTCAAATTACAGAACAAGCTTGTAATTCAAGTTTTTACAATTGTTGCCGATTTCCATCAGGCTCGACATACACCACGAATGGCAAACATGTTTATTTACTTTTACCAATACTCTCGAGAATTTGAACCAATCCTTGAAACCAGTGCAAAGTAGTGGAGAAAGAGCTGAAACAGATAAAGAATGTATCTGATAGAGGACTGAAAGCGATGGTTACTTTGAGAATCTTTAAAAGACTGGAGCCATGCTTGTTCCATCAAGCATTGAAACAACAAAATTTAATATGCTGAAACAGATGTGAAGATCTTTTCTTGTCAAACCACCTATATCTAAAATCAAGGAAAATTCTGGGAAAAAAGACAAGGAAAGCGACATCATGAAGAAACACCAAGTGAAACATACAAAATCAGGTTGAGATTGCTATGGTCATGCCATGGTAACATGAAAGGCTGCCATCTAGGAGATAGTAACAATGAGGGCCAAAACTTCATTCCAAAATAGTGCAAGACAAACTTAACCTCAACTGTCAATTTCACTTGAACCTGCAACTTCTAAAATTGTTTGGACCTCAGTAATTTTTCGACTTTGCATTTGTGCTTTAGTTGGATACTATAAGTATGAATGAATAATATTAAAGCGACCATAGCACAGATCACAAAATCAATGAAGCTATACAATTATGAATGCGAGGATCTGAGGCATGAATGCTCCAGTTGTTCCAGTCTTAATGTGATCTTGTCAATGACATGCATGAGACAAGTAGTCCAAACCATTTGATGATGAAGTTCCAACCAAAAATAAAAGTGAAGATGGTCTTTTCCAGACATACCTCAGAGCATTCAACTATGTTACAATTTAATATACGAAAACAGTATTCTCATTTCTAACAAAAGTGGTCGGTTTATCAGCTTTGTGTCCAGATTTCTTCTTTAGAACATTGTACCTGGAGCAGCTTAAATCCGACTTCCGCCGACTTTTCGGGGATTCGAGAGAAAGTTGGCGTATATAATCTTGCTCAACATCAAACAAAGATATAAACAGTTAATGCATCCAGAGATATATACATGCTAAGTCCCTTCATATGTGAAGCTTGAATATGTAGTAATTTAGGATAAGAGAGACAAATAGATGGTGCTCAGCGAAAAGGATTATATCAGTAAAAGGGCTTTCCAAAAAAAGGGTAAGAGCTTTGCAAAGGAACAAATTTCAAGTGATGACAAAGGAAATAGATTCTTGGATGTTAGATGGAAAGCTATGGCAGGAAAAATGCATGCTCTGGCAGGCAGAGGCTACAGTGTAATAAATGATTAGCCCTTTGTGTGGAAGAATATATTCTTTTGGACAAACAAGCATTCTTAATTGGTCTAAGAAGAAAATGGACGTATTACTGTGAATTTATAATTTTAATTTCACAAACAAACCGATTGCCACTCTTTCCGGAAGTAGAGAAGAAGAAAACAAAATAGATTTAGCTTACATCAACATCGACACACCCTGAATCAAACAAGGAGTTAAGCCCAAATCCAAGCTACTAAGCTGTGCAAAGCTCCACCTGCAGATTCCACACAAAATAGCTTAACACAAGAATTTATGTTTCTCCATAGATTTTAGAGGAAGTTCAAGGTAAGAGTCGAGAAAGAACCTCTGCAATGGAAACTTGAGTGATGCAGTACAGAAAGAAGGGGAAAAAATCCATCCAGTCCCTATGGAATTAGAGGAAAAGTATCCATTTTTCTCACACTTCTGGTTTTGGTTTTTCCATTATACAATACTGAGACATTAAGAGGAAAAAAAGAACAAGCCAATCGTGTCTCGAGGACCCTTTTCTTTTCTTTCTTCATCTTTCTCCCAAAGGTCAAAACTTTACTGGCCTGATCCATGGGAATCATCCTTAGCAGAGGGTTGCTGCTGTTGCTGGTGCTGTTGCGCCCTAGCTTGCTCCATCTGCTGATAAATCTGGCTCAAAGCATGAAAATTTAGAGCCCCAATATGACCGTCTTGAGACAGACCAAGTTCCAAACCAGGGAGTGGCTGATTAGCTTCACCCAAGATTGAGGTGAAACTCATCTGACCCATGTTACTAGGTGTCAAGTCAAAACCGGGAAAGCCAAGCTTTTGCAGATAATTGGAACTTTCAGTGCCTAAATTTGTTGTAGATGGTCCAGATGATGACTGGAACCCGTAACCACTGACAGGGGGCCATAACCCAGTTGCCACATGATGGGGTCTCCCCAAATTGTCAGCAACCATTGTATAACTGGTCCTACTGCTCCCTGACCCTATACTGGACCCCCCAAAATCTTCCATCTTTTGGTGCAACCCCGCTGATAGAGAGGCCCCTGGCTGTGATGAAACTGAGCCCCCAGCCGCTGCCAAAGCTGATGCCGGAATCGTTCCGCTCCCTGTGGCGGCAATTATGGACGGTTCAGCTTGTTGTAACAACCACTGTATTGTTTCCCCGTCAGATTTGTTACCCAATTCCCTTGTCAACTGAAAGATTCTAGCTGCACATAAAGCAGGCATCCTTATCCTTCTACCTCTTCCTTCAACTTTGGTATGTCTGTCTTTGTTGGAACTTCTCTTTGGGGCCAACTGTTGCTTCTTCCCTTCTCCTTTATCCGCCATCACAATCTGGAAATCCTTGATCTCAGATGCTTTATTCTCTCCCATGCTTTGATCCTCTACCTCCTGCTGGTGTTGCTGCTTGGCGCCCTTGGGATCCATAAACTGGTAAAAGAATGGGATTGGGGAATCAAACCAAAACCAAACACAAAAAAACTAAAAGAGTCCTCTTTGATTGAAGAAGATGACCTGAAAAGTCCTTGCCTTTCATGAGTTTTTACTGTTTTCTTTGACAAGATTGAAGAAGATGACCCGAAATGTGAAAAATTTTATTCTGTTTCACAAGATGTCATCTCTCTCTCTCTCCCATTGGCCATTGCTTTCATCGTTACCCTTTTCCTCACTGCAGTGAAGGTGAAAAAGGGGGGGGGGGTTGACTAACATCTCTGATAGGATAGCAACTTTAACTGCCAATTTCACCTGAAGACACTAATTCCTACAGAATATTATCATCTTACATTACTTTTCTTTTAATAATTACAGTCACACATCCCCATATCACCATATATGTAATCAATACATTGATGGATTCCTTCCCTTTCACTTTATTACATCTCCACCTTGTATTATTGCAGTTTGCAGCTGCAATATTAAAAGCAAATCTCATCTCTTGTAAGGAACTTAATTGCCATTTTGCATTAATGGTTTTCTAACAAGTAGCAACCTGATTTTGGATCATCAGTTTTACTTCTAACATACTCTAGGCCATCCTTCTCATACATTGCTAAAAAAATGAACGTTATATGTATATTTTAAGAGTTATGATCCACTTATAAGAAAATAAAACTCATTAGTATTATATAGATTTAGGACTATTGAATGAGTAAAAATAGATGGTTGAGATTGATTCATTGTTTTTTAGTATACTGAAAAAACAATGAATCAATCTCAACCATCTATTTTTACTCATCCAACAATCCTTAGTTTTACATTATATAACAGGATCATATCCCATATTTTAATCTCTAATTATACAAATAAAAAAAATCTCTAATTATAATTTGATACTTGAAATTTGTTTGATTCAGATTGATCCTTAAAAATATTAAAAATTTCCCAAAAAATATATTTAAAATTTTAAAAAAGATTAAAATAGTTAAAAAGTAAAAAAAAAAAAAAATTAGAAAAAACACAAAATATTGTAAATAAATTAAAACTATTTTGAAAAGCATTAAATATTAAAAGTAATTAAAAACTATTAAAAATCTTAAAATATCCTGAAAAATATTAAAAATATATGAAAAGCATTATAATATTAATCATAGTAGTACTCATGATTTTTATTTTAGAGTTTAAAAATTAATCATTTATTATAATACAACTCACAAGTGAGACAACATGGTTTGAGTTTGTTTTTGCAATTCTTTCTATAGTTTAAATTTTTGGTTTTTTATAATATTTTATATTTAAAAAATTTCAAATATTTGTTAATTGATTTAAAATTTTGGTTTATTTTAAATTTTCAAACATTTTAATTGCTTTAAATATAATTTTGATTGTTATATATTTTTAACTTTGGGGAGTTTTTTAAAATTTTTGTTTGAGAATTAAATAAGTTTTTGAATTTAAAAAAATTAATTTAGTCTCTACTACGTTACATAACACTTGGGTGGCCAAATTAGATTATCGCATTCATAAATTTAATTATGCATCAATATCGTAATTGTTAAAGATAGACTATATTAATAAGTATTTATGTGTAATACATTTACCTTTGCCTTTATTATTATTATTTATTTTCAATAAGTCTATTTGTAAGACACATTTTTTTCTGTCCTTTGGCACTTTTTTGGCCGTTTAATCATTATTTTCATTTATATTTTCTAAGGGTTGATTAGACATCACACAACTGATCAAGATGAACTTCTCTCTTATATTGTTGATCTTCCCTGCTTTGAACCCTTGGATTAGATTTGGATACCCGTTATGTGTTGTGGATAGTTTTTCATGTCGCTCGAGTCTGATTTGCGGTTTGTCAGTGGTCTTTCAGTAGCTTGATCTCCTTTTGTGGTTCTTTTGCCAAAGTGATCAGATCTGTTTGTATCTATCTTTGTTCGAGTTTTCTCGATTATATTTTAATATTTCCTTGTATGATCCTTATGTGATCTTAAGTTGCTAGTTTTGTTTCAATGATTATAAGAAATTGTCCTAAATATATACTTAATTTATGATTATGATTGTAAACCTTTATTGTAATATAAAATATTTTTTATTTGGAATAAAATTAGTGGTTTCTTTCATTATATATATATATATATATATATATATATATGTTTTTCGATGATGAATCAATTTAATTTAACGTGAGAGTAATATATATTGGATCATATATAATATTTGCCTAGAAATTGACGGATAAAGACTAGTCAACTTTTTCATACATATTTGTAGATTGAAGGACAATGGTTTACACATATATGAGAGCTCCCTTTTCATTTGTTTTTACACAATCTCATTGTCAGCACAGATTCACTTGGGGTCTAGAAAAGAAAGAAGATTGAACACAATTATTTGAAAAATATTATCCGATAAAATGAACAAGGTGGTGCTTAGCTGCATTTCTATTAATCTAGGTGATTACAAGTGGTAATATTTGTTCTAAAGACTCTCAATCATTTGACAATAAACACTCAAATATCCTACAATCGCTAGTGTTCGAACTTGAGACCTCTAGAAAAACAACCATTCCTTTAACCACTGAAATCGTTTGGTTCATGCTTACATGCATTTCTAAAGTTTAAGCCAAGAAAAATCATCACATTTGTTAAAGTAAACTAAAACCCTATAGATTGAGGAAAAAAGACAACAATTTCACCTTTGAAGTCCAATTTGATTCCTTATATAATTTAAGGCTAATCAACACTCCTTTTTAACTATTTCTTTGAAAGGGATTTGTTGTATATCTAATGCCTATTTTCTTTATTAACATATTTGGTCTATATGTATATCTTCATCTTAGAGGTTTTGAGTTTGAGCACGATGTCTGTAAGAGTATTTAAGTGTTTATTATGCAATAATTGACATTCTTTTAAACAGATACTACATTTTAATTAGGGGAGGAGCCAAGATTAAATATAAACAGGAGCCGAAATATTAATTTTTTGTGAAAAATACAATGACTTACTAGATATTTAAACTTACATTCAAAATATAATATCTAATTTGTCTAATAATTAAATTTATAATGACCTAAATTGTTATTAAACAAAAAAATTGAGAACATTGAATTATCATTCTTTTTTTTTTGTATAGCACTTGTTTCCAATCTATTAGTTGACTAATCCGGATCAAGTATTGCAGAGGCGAGGGCTATCCTCCCAACCCAGTTTGCTCCATTCACAATTGTCAAGATTCAAACCACTGACCTTGCTTAAGGGATCTAGTGCCTTATCCCGCTAGACCAACCAATTGTTGGTATTGGATTATCATTCTTTAGTTCACCCCCTACTTGATTAAATATCTAATAAATTTTTATATTTCTTAATTTAAATACTTAGTTTTACATTAACCAAAATACTATTAGATCAAAATCTATCGAATATAAAATAATTTTACAGGGGTCGAGTCCCTTTGGGCCCTAAGGGAGATCCGCCCCTACTTGTAATCACCCTATACTAATAAAAAAATAATCCCTTTTAAAACTGGATCACCATATCTAAATCAAATTTGAGGATGATATTGTAATTACATCTCTCAAGTTTATTCAAATCATAATGGTACCTTGAAATCTAACTACTGCATTCTTCTATATTTCCTCCTTTTGTCAACAAATTCTATCCACTTTTGCATGATATCTGGCAAAAAAATTGAATTTTTGATAAGGTAATTGGTTCAAATTTTCTTTTGCTTTCAAAATTCAAAAGTGGGCAGGTTGGCATTGCATGGTTATAGGGACCCATTTTCACTATTCAACTACAACCATGAGTATATCATTAGAAGAAAAAAAACCTGTATTTGAACCACACAAACTGTTTTAAAAACCTATAGCATCCAATAATTATAAGTGTACATCACTTGATGACCATGATAATGCTTACATCATGGTATCTATATCCACTACATGGTAGTTAAAAATACACATTACACTTTTGTCTTCTTATTCATACAATTCTTGTTCACCACAGTGGGGGATAAACTTGCATTACACGCACATCCCCTTTAATTAGTTTCCTCCTTTTTCTTTAATCATGCTCCCAAACTTGATCATTAAGCAACCCTAGGATGGTATTTTTGGGGATGGGTCATTGAACAAATGAGAGCATATATGAATATATATTTATTATTCACATGCTTTTGTCTTTTCTTTTTTGAAAGAAGTTATGACTTTGGTTTGGTGTGGAGAAGAGAGTAATCCCTTTGTGTTGTGAAGATAAACATGGTTGGAATGTGTATGTTAGTGATTGTATTGTTTGCCATATGTGTTTCCTATCGTGTAGACAAAAGGAGGCCCCCCTTTGAAAGCTAGCTTCAACCTTACATTAATTCAAAGATTGAATGGTACATCATCTAATTATTGATTTTGATGTACGAATCAAGCGATATCAGTAGTTAAGGAATTATTGTTATCTCTCTAGATGTTCCAAGTTTAAGCAAGTTGTCTATAGGTATGCTTGAGATTTCAATGTCAAATGCTTTAGAATCTTTTGAATAGATACTACCTTGTAATCACCACATACTAATAAAAAATTAATGATTATGATTTTGAATTACTGTTAAGAAATGAGATAAGCTTGGAATTTTGTTTTGTTTGTATTCATTTGTCACTCCCACTCCCATCAATCCCAAGGGCCTAATAATTTGAGAGCAAATAAACAAATATTTATAGCAATTTGGTTAGCATTAGATGGTGCAATTTGTTGATTGTCTTTTTTAGCATGGGGCAACGGCGTGATGATATCAAGTAGTGAAAGTTTAGGATTAGAAAATCCCTATTAAGAGACTAATCTACTATATTTGGGTATGAGATTTAGGTCGGTTGAATTAATTAAGATAAAATCTTGAAATTTGGGAGAAAAAAAAGTTTAGGATCCATTAATTGAGCACATAATTAAACTTTGAGAGAGACCCATCAATGAGCAGCAATCTCTAACTAAATGATAAGATTATGTATGGACCTCACCATTACCCTCACCATCTACACATTTGAGCAATATATGTACCTATCAGCTATCCCTTTCTCTTTTGATTTTAAGGTCTGTTTTCTTCTACCAATCTAAAAGATCAACCATATTAAATATTAAATGTTATCTTTTAAAATAATTGTATAAATTTGTTTGATTGAATTCTATTTTATTTTTTTCTTTAGGGTAAATTATGTATTTGCTCACTCAATTTTCACTTTGGTTCCATTTTGATTATCCAACTATTTTCTTTTTCAAAATCATATCTAAAGTAACATTTTGATTATATTTTGGTCACCTATCTTTAAAAAAGTTGACGATGATGTTGACGTATCGCCATAAGATAGTATCATGTCATCACTGAAAAATATCACATCAACAGTTCTGTTTATTTTTTAAAGGTGGGTGACCAAAACGGAACCAAAATGTAACGTTAGGAATGATTTTGAAAAAAATAGTTGAGTGACCAAAACATAACCAAAATGATAGTTGAGTGACTAAAGACGGTGTTTACCCTTTTCTTTATTACTTCCGGTTCTTTTTAATTTTGAAAAAAAGTTCATATTGGTTGCATATATATATATATATATATATATATATATATATATATATATATATATATATATATATATATATATATATATATAGATAGATAAAATCTATTACTTAACATTAAGATTACAATATTAAGCTACTAATACGACCAGGAGTTTGATTAGAGTTAAATTCCATTTATCTTTGTAAAAGAATAATTAATTAAAATTATGAATAAAATGATATTATTTATATAGATTTTCATAATTATTGAACCTACATAATTAAGTCGAGGACAGATTTATACAGAGTTTAATAACATTTTAGATCCTTATCAGTCTAAATTTAAGTAAAATTAAATTTTTTTCATCCAATTTTTTTAGACTAAATACATAATAAATTCTTATTATTTTGAATTTAGACATCTTGCCCTTCCCAATATTTGATCCTGACTCTGTACTTATAGAATTTGATAAATAATGATGAACATTCACACCTCTCACATTCCTAATACACTTGACATTGAACATTCACACCTCTGACATTCCTAATGCATGAATTCGAAACCTCAAAGAATAATAATAATTCTTGTAACACATTTAAACCGACTATCTCTTGAATGTTATATAAACAATAAAACCTACAGATCTAATGATCAATAAAAAAAAGTAATTCTCGTAGTTAATGATGATTCATGATAAAAAGAAGAGGGATGGAAGACAAGCATCCTAAATTTCTAATAGAAGCTTTACAAAAGCAAAGCCTTAATCATGATGAACACTTGCATACCCATTTGGAGCTTAAATAAAGCAAAGTCTAGCACGTACAAGTTTCAATCATATTCTTTTACCAACAATAAATTATATGAGATTTCTCAAATTTTATTCCTAATTTGTTGGAAACAAACGTGTATTTGCATATTCAGATTTCAATGGTGCAAATATTGGAAATGTACTCTCCATAAATAATATCAATTTTCATGATATATTTTATTTATAATGCTAAATTACACAAACATATACATTTTCATGATATATTCATATGGAAAATTGAATCGGAGAGAAATTTACGAGTTTTTGAACATCGTTAAACCAAAAGTGGGAAACTTATCAAACCCACAAGAATCTCCAATACCACTAAAAAACCACTTGAAGCAGCTCCAAACTAAATTTATACTCAGATATTTTCCAAGCCACTCAACTTGCTTCCTGCAGCAAACTCAAAAAGGTAAAAAACTATTCTCTCTAGTTATTTACGAAGCAAATCTTACGATTTAAAGTAGCTGTTTCATTCAAGTTGTAAATGCATGATTGTTCATTCAAGACTTTGCATTCTTCATTATCTAGTTTGACAACTCGCTTTTGTAATTAAGTTTTACATAACTGGGGCTGTATGTAACCTATGAAAAGGCAATGAGCAAAATGAATCAAATAAGTACCCTGCAAGCTCCGCACCAGAGTTGTTATGGAAACTATTTATCAACATAGCTGAGGCCGTTCCACTGGGATATGTGAGTTTATAATCCAAGACCATTATCTGATAAAAGTAAAGAGACATAATCAAAAGACTCACTTATAAAATAGCAATCGAATGCTAAAAGAAAACCTCCCAATATAGAAAAATTAGCCAGAAAACTAAAAAGAATTTTTCTTCTTTTCCCCCGATAATCGAGGTAAGGGGTTGTGATTCTAGAGATTGAAACCAAACTCTCACACCTCAGAACAGTTATACCTTACGAAGCGAAGCAACACTAAACAGCCCAAGGAAGCTGACAACAAAGAGGAAACCAATCATCCATCCAATCCCCAGGTTCTTAACATCTTCCGCTCGGTTTCCAGGGTAATCAACATCGATAAGATTATATGTTCTTTCATCCATATCAATCAGATACGATCCAAAACCCCCTACAAGAAACACAATCAGATATTAAACTCTCACACCTCAGAACAGTTATACCTTACAAAGTGGAGCAACACTAAACAGTCCAAGGAAGCTGACAACAAAGAGGAAACCAATCATCCATCCAATCCCCGGGTTCTTAACATCTTCCGCTCGGTTTCCATGGTAATCAACACCGATAAAATTATATGTTCTTTCATCCATTGCAATCAGACACGATCCAAACCCCCTATAAGAAACACAATCAGATAATAAACTCTCACACCTCAGAACATTTATACTTTACGAAGCGGAGCAACACTAAACAGCCCAAGGAAGCTGACAACAAAGAGGAAACCGAGCATCCATCCAATCCCCGGTTTCTTAACATCTTCGCTCGGTTTCCAGGGTAATCAACACTGATAAGTTTATATGTTCTTTCATCCATTGCAATCAGATACAATCCAAAACCTCCTATAAGAAACACAATCAGATATTAAACTGTCACACCTCAGAACAGTTATACCTTACGAAGCGGAGCAACACTAAACAGTCCAAGGAAGCTGACAACAAAGAGGAAACCAATCATCCATCCAATCCTCGGGTTCTTAACATCTTCCGCTCGGTTTCCATGGTAATCAACACCGATAAGATTATATGTTCTTTCATCCATTGCAATCAGACACGATCCAAAACCCCTATAAGAAACACAATCAGATAATAAACTCTCACACCTCAGAACATTTATACTTTACGAAGCGCAGCAACACTAAACAGCCCAAGGAAGCTGACAACAAAGAGGAAACCGAGCATCCATCCAATCCCCGGTTTCTTAACATCTTCGCTCAGTTTCCAGGGTAATCAACACTGATAAGATTATATGTTCTTTCATCCCATTGCAATCAGATACGATCCAAAACCTCCTATAAGACACACAATCAGTTATTAAACTGTCACAACTCAGAACAGTTATACCTTACGAAGCGGAGCAACACTAAACAGTCCAAGGAAGCTGACAACAAAGAGGAAACCAATCATCCATCCAATCCCCGGGTTCTTAACATCTTCCGCTCGGTTTCCATGGTAATCAACACCGATAAGATTATATGTTCTTTCATCCATTGCAATCAGACACGATCCAAAACCCCTACAAGAAACACAATCAGATAATAAAGTCTCACACCTCAGAACAGTTATACTTTACGAAGCGGAGCAACACTAAACAGCCCAAGGAAGCTGACAACAAAGAGGAAACCGATCATCCATCCAATCCCTGGTTTCTTAACATCTTCCGCTCTGTTTCCAGGGTAATCAACACTGATAAGATTATATGTTCTTTGATCCATTGCAATCAGATACGATCCAAAACGTCCTATAAGAAACACAATCAGATATTAAACTGTCACACCTCAGAACAGTTATACCTTACGAAGCGGAGCAACACTAAACAGCCCAAGGAAGCTGACAGCGAAGAGGAAACCCATCATCCATCCAATCCCCGGGTTCTTAACATCTTCCGCTCGGTTTCCAGGGTAATCAACACCGATACGATTATATGTTCTTTCATCCATTGCAATCAGATACGATCCAAATCCCCCTATAAGAAACACAATCAGATATTAAGATAGAGACAAGATCAAAAAATAACAAAAATGCTAGTATTTGTTACTTTTTTAATCATTTACAGCCCATAATTAATTAATTTTAGAAAATTCAGAGGCTCCGTAACAGCAAAATTAAGCTTCAAATGCTTTAAACTAAACAAGCGACAACGATTAATTAATTAATTAATCGAACATACAGTTATGTGTTCTTGAGTTTGTATTACCATTAAAAGCGAGGCCGTAACAAGCGACGACGCAAGTCTGAATTACAGTGTTTTCTTGTTTGGTAAAAGGCGAAACTCGGAACCCAAACTTAGACAAGAAACCGGTCCACGATTTTACGAAGAAGTATCCAAGCAATTCAGCGCCGACGTTCAACGTGGGAAACATCCCGGCCGTTAGATTCATCTTGTGTGTGATGATGCAAAATAGAGTCCCTAACAAGGCGCTCACCACGAGCCCTCTGATCGTTATATGATCTTTCCATTCGGGAACTCGCTCCGACTCAGCGCCGGCGTCAAATATTTCCGTTTCGAGAATCAGCGGCTCCGATATATCGATTCCCATGAATTTAGGATATGACCGGTTTTGTTCGTTTCGTCTTTCTTTTTCCTTGGGAAGTCAAACCATAGCTGAAAGTAGGCAGTCGGGTAATCAAGTGAAGGAGCGAGTGACACGTTTCTAAATTAAATGTCACTTAATTTTGGCAAAATTACATCAATAATTAGGGATGGGCACCGTTCCTAAACCCATCTAATTCATAGCGGTTCTGTTCGATTCAGATATATTTTAAAAAAAATTTAAGTTCAGGTAGAATTCAGATTTAGATAAAAAAATTTAACTGATTTGGCCCAAAATTTTTTTTATCTTATATATTTATTTGATATAATTATAAAAATACTCTTATATATATTATTATTTAATTAAAATTTTATTTTTATTAAATAAAAATAATATTTTTTATAAATATATTATCTCGGGTTGGATTAGGTCGAGTGAAGGGTGTATATTTTTTTTGGATTAGACTGGATCGGGTAGAGAATGTATAATTTTCGGGTCGATTTGGGTTGACCAAAAACCCGACCCGACCCAATCCAACCCATACCCATTCCTATCAATTATACTATTGGAAAAAAATTGAGAAATAAAATATCATAATTTTTATTTAACAATTGGAGTAATTTTTACATTACTTTGAAGTTTTTTACTTTTTTGGAAAATTATAATTTATTACAGGATAAATATTATTGATAGATGTCTCGTTAAAAAATTTCACTAAACCTAAATGAAAGAAAAAAGTATAATAAATTAATGGGTAAAATATAATAACTTTGGGCAAAGTCGCCACAAACGTATGATAATTTAGGCATAGTCGTCTTATTTTTAGGGTTATTTTTTCTTCAAGATATTAGTGTTCATTATCAAAATATTATGAGTCTTTAAATAAATATTATTTTATATTCACCCCAGATTTATCATAAAATATAATGAAAATTGTGAGTTTTAAGGAATTAAATCTTGCCATTTCTAAAATCGTAAAAAGTGGAGCAAATTTGAGACTGGATCAAAATAGTAGAAGAATGAAAATATATAAACTAAAATTGGAATTTTCAGGAATTATCCCTTTAAGAGAATATTCAGTTTAAGAAGGAAATTCAAATATTGTTATTTAGAATATATTTATATTTTAAATTTTTGAAATGATATTAAAATTATAAGGACTAAAAATTAAAATTTTCATAAAGTTAAAAATAAAAATTAGCGTTTAGTTTATTATAAAATATAATGTATATTCGTTTTTAATTTACTGGTGACATTGACAGGATTGATGGCAGTTATCGACAAATTTGATTTGATAATAATTTTATTTTACACTACAGATCAAATTGAAAGAAAATTAAAATTATAGGATCAAAATAGAAAATTAAAAAAAGCAATAAATTACACATATCAAATTCTTTTAAAATATTGATATATTTAAAAACAATTTGAAAATTTTGGTCAGATAGAAAAGAAATTCAAAGATTTGAAATTATAAAAAAAAAAATTAAGTTAAAGGTAAAACGATGTTTTAAGACAAAAATGACAACATTATGGAGGAGGAAAAACCGATCAGGAGCACGACCAACTGATGAGAAGCAAGAAAAAGATTAAAGCATCAGATTCAGAGGGTAGAGATTTGGAAGTTAGAATGGAGGAAGATAATCAATCGGATTTCACGAAGGACAAGGCAGGATTGGAGAAGCCTTCTTATCGCAGTATGCTCATAGGGAAAAGTCTGATCAATGGCTTTCCAAATTATGATGAGTTTGGTCCCATTGATAAGAATGATGGTCTTATAATGGTGGGATGTAAGGATTCTAGACCGTCTCTGAGCACCTCGGAAAGATTTTGAGCAAGTCTACATATTAAATGGTCTAATTGTTTGATTTTGAAACTACTTGGGAAATCGATTGGCTTTCGTGCACTGGATGAACAAATTAGAAAGAAGTGGATGCCAAAGGCGGAATATGAACTCATCGATGTTGGTGAAGGTTACTTCCTAATAAAGTTTTCTTCGCTGAATGATCTTAAATTCGCCTTGGAAGAAGGACCATGGATTATATATGGCCATTATCTTACGGTTCGTAAGTGGTTTGCGAATTTCCACATGTCCTCTACTACCATTGAATCTACCGCGGTTTGGGTTCGTTTTCCTGGTCTTCCGGTGCATTATTACAATGAATGAATGTTTTTTGCAATATGCTTGGTCGTACTTTGAAGGTTGATCCTAACACTAGTTATGCTTCGAAAGGTAGATTTGTTCTGGTTTGTGTTGAAACTAGATTTTGGCAAAGCACTTGTGCCAAAGATTGAAGTTAATGGGAGATGGTATTCAGTAGAATACGAGGGATTTCCACTGATTTGCTTTCATTGTGGAAAATTTGGCCACCGGGATAATTCATAATTCTCAATACAAGCACCCACTAGAGATGGCCATGAGGCGGTGCAAAAGGATCTAACCGGCGATCTGTCGGGAAACGGTGATTCAAGTATGGAAACCATTCCTAAGGAAACTAAGATATCCGGAGAATCTGTTTTTGGTTCTTGGATGATTGTTCATCGCTGTAAACCAAGGAAGATTACCAAGAATCAAGGAGATGTAATTGGGAAAGGCATTCACCAAGGTGGATCAAATTCTGGGTCGAGATTTTCTCCCTTGAATATTTCTCCAGACGAGATGGAGGCTAATACGGAAAGAATCTTTACTGCCTAGTCCCTAAGCAGGAATCATTGAGGGGGCGTAACTTGAAGTTGACCCACGTGGGAAATGGTAAAAAAAACAAAAACTTCGTCTGCGAAAGAATCTGACAGCTCCGCTGGTTTATTAATAAAGGAGAAAAATAAGGTGGTGGCAACAAAGGCCTACGTAAACACAAAAAAATTGCATGCAAATATTTATTTGGCTCCACATTCTTCCTCTTCATGTGTTAATGCTGTGGATTTAAATTGCACGGAGAATGTTGTTGCCAAAGATGTCACGATGGGAGAGGTAACTATTTTGATTGACCATATGTCTTCAGACAAACGAATATATAAACCCCATGATGCTTGTTTTATTCCACCGAGACCAGATGATAGTGGCTCTATTATTCCCACCTCCCACGGTGAGTCCTCTTGGGGCAACATGGTTATGGATGTCGATGAAAGTGTTCCCTCAAGTGAACATATCCAACTTGAGATCACCCTTACTATTTGCTAATGAATTTTCTTGTTTGGAATTGTCGAGGTGCTGGAAATAAAGCTTTTATGCGGAATACTTGGGATATGATTGACATTCACAAACCAAGTATTTTTGTAGTAGTGGAACCTCGCATCTCTGGTAGAACTACCCGATGTATTGCTAAGAATCTTAATTTTCCAAAAGTTCACATTGTTGATCTGATCAATTTTGTGGTGGAATTTGGATAGTATGGGATGACCAAGATGTTGTTGTTGATGTAATCAGGGCCAGCCCAATACATGTGCCTGATGGGCGACGGCTCAGGGCAGCATGTAGGGCTGGGGCATCAGTTTCTAATATTTAACAAGCATGCAAGTATGATATCTTGACTGGATTTTAAATAAACGACAAACAATATGCCGCCCTAATAAATCAAGCAGTTTGCTATCATCTGCAAGAAATACCTAACAGACAATGCATCACATATAGACCACAAAAGATGCAGGTTACATTATAGAGCTCGATTAGTTTTTCTAGTCACTTGAACTTAAGACATCTAACCCTTTTCCGGAAAAATAAAAACATGCTACATGCTATGATATTATTAAAGTGGACGGTGCCGAAGTGGTGACAACCGCAGCAGAGGCGCCAGTACCTGTGAAGAGACGGAGGCCAAGAGAAAGGAAGGTTCCCGTTACTCCATTTTCTAGAGCATTTGGGTAAATTGTGTGTATTTCTTTTAATGTTTTATCATTTATTGCTACTGCTAAATTATATGTTCCTTTTTTGCTACGTTTCTAACTAGTTATTTGTTTAACATCAAAAGTTTTGCTTCATTAGGAGCTGGTCTTGCTTGGGGAACAGTTCAGGAATCTGCCAAGAGACTTGTTTATGGTTCTCCAAACTCAAATGAAAAGCAGTCTGCTGTTTCACCATTCTTGTCCGAAAAAAATTATCATTCTTGTTTTTAACTCTAGATGTGAGTTCAAGTTGAATTCACAGTAAAATGATTGGCTTTTGTGGAGAAAGAACAGAACTTGTCATATCATATAATTCCTTCCTATGTTTTGTCTACTATACGGTAAGGGCATAAAATTATTATCTCGCCCAGGGCATTAAAATTCATTGGACCGGCCCTAGATGTAATATTCTCATCTCAGTAAGTAGTCCACTATGTTGTGAATATGGTGTCACGGATGTACTGTTTAAGCCTAGAAGAATTTTCCGAGTCTAATAGCATCCCTTGGGCTATTGCAGGTGACTTTAAGGATGTACTGTTTATGTACGAGAAGTTTGGCGGTAGGCACCCATTTACATCTCGATGTCGTTTATTTAACGATATGATGTCTAGTTGCGGGTTGCTTGATTTGGGGTTCCAAGGGCCTTCATATACTTGGTAGAATATGAGGCATGGCAATGCAAGAATATATGCAAGGTTAGATAGGGTCTTAGCGAATCCTAGTTGGCGAGCTCATTTCCCTGAAGCACTCGTTACTCATCTCTTGTGCCTTCATTCTGTTGAAAGTATTAAAATGGTTTTCAAGTTTGGTAACCAACTTTGAAAAAAATGGTTTTCAAAGTTTGGTAAATGTTTCTTTGAAAATGTTTTTCAAAGTTTGGTAAATGTTTCTTTGAAAAATAGTTTTTCAAAGTTTGGTAGATGTTTGTTGAAAAATGATAATGAGATAATCACAATTAATCCCTAGGTTTTAGGGTATTTACAAGATTAAGTCCTTAAGTTTCAACTATAAATACCCTAGCTCATTTAGCTTCAAAACCATCCCAAAAATCATTTCTTTCTCCCAATACTAGAGAGTTTTCTTGTGAGTAGTGAGTGTTTTGTAAACACCTGTAAATTTTCTCTCTTAGTAAAAGATCAGCAGCAGTCCGGAGACGTAAGCACAATTGGCTGAA